GCCAGGTGGAGATCTCCATCCTCCCTCCCCACCACCGCTCCCCACCGTCCGTCCAGAAGACTACAGGGTCTCCTATTGCCTCCCCTCCCTGTGAGTCTCCCATTCTCCCTGTTGGGATGGGCCCCTCAGTCCCCATGTGCAGAAGAACCTCATCCGTTGCCATGAATTTCTGTCTCCTTCTCAGGGGCTCGGCCAGAATGGAATGTCAAGTATGACTCTTTGCTTCTTGTCCGTCCCATCCCTGGACTAGACCATGAGTCTTTCCAGGGCACCCACCCCTCAGATTTGCTGCTGTATCCTCAGCGTGTTACCCCTTGGTCTTTACAATAGTGCAAGGAAGAAGATAGATGAGATATTATTAGATATTTAATATCGTTGAGTCTTATAGATCTCTTATAGGTGTCTTACTCATAGCGCCATTAGGGTTTTTGCATAGCTAAGGAGACTGCAGCTTGGAGCGATTAAGTGGTAATAATAATAATAGCATATGAAGTGCAGTGCTTTATCTCTCCCTACCCCCCCCCCCCATCAGTCCTGTGTATTGGCAAGCTCTAGCCCCATTCTGCGGATGAGGAAGGAAGGAGGGAGTGACGACAGAGTGAGAAATGTTGGGGAGATGGAGGGAAAGAGCGAGAGAAAGGAGGGAGGGAATGGGACAGAGAGAGAGTCTTGGAGGTGGGAACCAGACCCAGTCTGCCCAAAGCATCGCCGCCGCCTCCTCTCTGTGTGTGCCCTCGCCAGGATTCCTCCCTGCCGTGGGCAGTTGGGGACACACTCCCAGAGGGCAGAGGCCAGGCGGTGGGTGTGGGTTCCAGAGTTGCATCCCCTGTAGGCATCAGATCTGACAGCAACACATGCACCTCCAGCTGGTTGGTCCCCACGCCACTGTTTGAGAGCAGAAGTGATGGTAAATATTTAATTGTGCTTCCACCATAACTTTCTGCCAGAGCTCTCAATATGCTTTATAAATGCAAATGAGTGCTCTTTTCCTCTCCAGGGAGATGTAAACCTCCTCAAATCACTTTTATTCAGCCCCCACCAGAATGTAATGCCATAATCAGGAGCGTTCTGTGCCAGTAAAGAAACTGCCCTTAATCATATCGAGTGGATGGTTTATGGTTTTGTGGTCTTCTGTCTCCACGGCAGTCAGGATGCAGAGAAATGGATTCCTCTTGCTGCAACTTCTGTCCAGTAGGGTGGATGGAAGACATTATTTAGAAATAGTTTCAATTATAGCCATGGAGCAGGCGACTATGAATATAATGAAGTCTTAGATTATATTAATGGGACTAACAGAACAAAGTAGTCCTTGGAAGGTTTAGGAATGAAGGCTAATTCTTATTTTTATTCTGGACTCTATTTCCTTTGCTGCCTGCATCCTCTGCCTGTCCATTGCTACTTCAACTTGATCCTGAACTTAAGGTGGGGTGATGCATTATTCTGGGGGCTGCTGAAGCTTCTTGGCTTTATGAGGAAGGCCCCCACCCTTACCCCAGGGCCACAGTAGAGGCCCTGGAAACCCAGATCTGCCTGGTAGGTGGCATGCTGAGGTTTGAAGCTATGACGTCAGGATGGGAGGCTGTGTGACCTTGTAGAAAGCACTGCTCCTTTCTGTGCCCTGGTCCCCAACTCTGTCAAATGGGTTCACTGGCCCCTGCTTCCGGGCCACCTGGCGGAAGCATTTTAATCACAGAGATAGATTTCTCCAGAGCCTCATGCAGTGTCTTCTGAGAAGTGTATTATGTAAATTTGGTGTGTCATTATGCTCATTATTAGCGCTGTGAGTGGAGATGAGGGGGAGAGGGAGGGTTGCTTCTGGAAGGGACCGGCCTCCCCAGCTGTCAGAAGAATCGAATCCGAGGAGAAAACAAACTTGAGAAGTCTGTGCCAGTGCTTACTTCCTGCAGATAAACACGGTATGACTCTCAGTGCAAACCCCAGCTCAGACGGGCAAGAAAATACAGCTTGCTTTCTCTACCTCATCCCCTCGATTTGCTCTTTGGGCCCCCATTCCCCTGGGGTAGCAGAAGTGTAACTTGGGTTATAGGAAGGCTGTCTGGTGCCAAGTTGTAGAGGAGGCTTCCTCGCTGGCTCTTTTAGCTCCTGTCCACTCTGGCACACATTGAGATACCCCACACCCTATGTGACCCTTGCTTATAGCCCATGCAGGTCACCACTGGGTGGTTCCTGGTCCCCGTCATTAGTACCGATGGGACCTACGGCTTCTTCTGCTCTGTCCAAGCCATGTCAGCCTGGGGGGTAACCCACTGCTGCGTCCCACACTGGAATGAATGCTGAATGTCCAAGCCCTGTGACCTCCACACACTCCCACCATCCCTTCTCTGGGGTGGGACACCAGGAGACAAGAGCATGGGGAACGCGTTTTCTCAACCAACACAGCCCCTTACTTATCACTTCGATTTTCATTCCTTCTACCTGCCGGTAGGGGGGTTTCTTCCCAAACCATTGGTTTATGCCAGGAGTCCCGTTTCTTAAGGGATCCACCATTTTATAACTGTGCATTCTGCATTCATATCTCCCATCTTCTCCTGAAGCAGTGAACACAGAACGGTTGTTCACATGGGGGATAGAAGTGTTCAGGAAAAAAAAGGAAACCAAGGAGGGGAAAGCCAAAACACCTGATGTTTACTTCTCCCTCCTCTGTCTTTTGAGCACCTTTGCCCTGTGCCTGTTCCTTTGATACATGCCCTGGGAAATCCACATGGGTAGGACACTTCCGCCAGCCTAGGCAGCACCGTGGTGTGAATTTAAGAAGGTGCCCCTCTGGAACAACTGGATGTGCACATGACAGAAACACTTGATTCAACCTTCCACCTTATGCAAAAATTAACTCCATAGATCACAGACCTAGGTAGGAGAGAAAAATCCTTGTGACCTTGGGTTAGGCAAAGCTTTCTCAGTGTGACACCAGACCATAAAAGAAAAGCTTGATGAACTGGATTTCATAAAAATTTAGAACTTCTGTGTTTTGAAACAGATTGGTAACAGAAAGAACATACATGCTGCAGTGTGGGAGAAAATATTTACAGAACATTTATCTGCTAGAGGACTTGCATCCAGAATATATAAAGAACTCTCCAAATTCAATAATAAGAAATTTAAAAATTATAAAATATTGAACACACTTCACTAAGATATGCTGATGCAAATAAACACGTGAAAGGATTTTTCAACATCATTCATCATGAAGGAAATGAAAATTAAAACCACAGTGAGCTACTGCTACATACTTGTGAAAATGGCCCAAATTAGAAATGACCCACCAGGCCAAGTTGGTGAGAATGTGGAGGAACTGGAATGCTCATGCACTGTCATATATAGCCCCAAACTGGAAACAACAGGTGAATGGGTAGGCAAACTGAATGTGACCATTACAGTGGAATATTACTCAGCAATAAAAAGGGATGAATTGTTGAGGTACACAACATGATCAGTCTTTTTAAAACAGGTTTTATTTATTTTTGAGAGAGAGAGAGAGATAGAGCAGGGGAGGGGCAGAGAGAGAGGAAGATAGAATCCCATGCAGGCTCCACACTGTCCCTATAGAGCCTCATGCGTTTCTAGAACTCACGGACTGTGAGATTATGACCTGACCCAAAAATCAAGAGCCAGATGCTCAACCGACTGAGCCACCCAGGCGCCCCTACAACATGATCAGTCTAAAATAGTTATGCTAAGTGAAAGAAGCCAGATAAAAAAATAGTACATGCTATATGATTCCATTTACATAAAATTCTAGAGCATGCCAGTTAACTAACCTATAAAAAGCAAAGTCAGTCATTGCCTAGGGGTAGGCAATGGGTGGGGCAGGGACAGAGGGAAGGAGGGTTTACAATGGGACAAGGACACTTCTGGAATGATGGGTATGTTTATTATCTCGATTGTGGTGATGGTATCCTGTGTAAATATAGGTCAGAATTTATCAAATTGTATCCCTTAACTAAGTGTACTTTATCGTACGTCATTTCTACCTCCATAAAACTTTTCAAAAAAATCCAAAGGGGCTTTTGGCTTTGCTGATCAGGAGCTTATGAGCAGTTTTTGGTTCCAAAAGTTTTGCTTTTGGGAGCAGTTTCCATTGAGAAGTGGGGGCTGACGGCGGTCAATAATGGACTAAGAGGAAAAAAAAGAGAAAGGTGCCTTGTTCTCAGGACATTTTACTGCTATCTGCCAGAAAACGGTTCTCATAATAGTAAGTCTGTGGTCACTCTGTGCCTGGTGATCTTGGTGTGTGCACTGTAGCTACTGCAATGGCTCCTAGGAGCCCACAGCTAGAGTCTGGGTGTCTCTTTTCCTTACCAGCCACAGGGATCGATGACCAGGGAGCAGGCCTCAGGGATCTGACAGGTGCATTCATGTGAGCGCCTAGTAGAGTCTTAGAGAAGGGGGTAACATGTATCTGGGCCCAGAGTCAAAGAGACCTACAGGGAGGCTGAGTCTTGGGAGAATGCTTGGGGGGCAGGGGTGTTTATCAGAAATCATTGAAGGGTGTCAACTTAGATGCCTGAAAGGGAGGCAGAGCAGAGTGGGGGGGGGGTAGAGAAATGGGTGCAGACAGATGAGGTTGGAGATGCAACCCAGTGGGGAGGAAGAGGGAAGAAAGACATGGCTCAGAAAGGCCAAGAAGGAAGTAAATTTGGCTACTGAGTTGGTGTGGCCCTAGAAGAGCCCATGGACTATACGGTGAGAAGAAGCCACGTCTGGGAGTAAAGCAGCGGGTGGACAAATGACTTGATCCTGCACAGGTGGCTTTCAGTCTTTCAGGGAGAGACGGATGAATGTAGCATCAGGACACCTGAGGTCTGAGCTGTGGTATCCTGACAGACTTCTTCCCTTCTCTGAGCCTTAGGCTTCACAGAGGGGCCCAAGGCTCCGAACATTAACATTTACAGTTATAAGTAACTTCATGAACATAAGGGCCACTGCCTAGCAATCCTTCTGACTCATCAGATTTTCTCTTTTGACCCACAGAAACCTTAATGGACACCAGAACGGCTACCGCAGAACTGGGCTGGACAGCCAATCCCACATCAGGGGTGAGTGTCAACCATCCATCCTTCAGTCCTGCTGGGCAGTCTAGGGCCTATGGGATGACTGAGGGAAGAGAGCCTGCCTGCAGCAGAACCTTTGTGGGGGGAATATAGGTGTGAATGGCTGTGTCTCCTGCCCATCCACAAAGAGGCAGCACTGAGGATCGTAGGCCTGAGCTGCTCCCTGGTGAGGTGATCAGACCATCTCCTGACACAGTCCTTCAGGGAGCTGGCTCTTAGGTAACTAGAGCTGTGCCTGTGTGGGAACAGGGGCAGTGGCTGCCAAGAGCTGGGCACTCAGGCCAGTGGCGCTGGGGTAGATCAGAGATCTGTGATGCCCACAGGGCTGCCGAGAGACAAGGCCATGAGGAACTAGAAGTCAGAAGGGCTGAAGCTCTCTTTCAGCTGGAGCTTGCCTTTGAGAGATGTTCTGGACTCATTTGCTCAGTGTTCGTGTCCTTGGCCAGACCCTGTAGCTACAAGAACGGAACAGTTCTGAGGACCTCATGGCCTCCCATGGGTGCGGGGACCCCCAGGTTCATGAATAGGCTGAAGTACATGTCTTCTTTGTGGCAGTGGAGAAATCAACAGGCAGGTGTGGCCCAGAACTTGGGATGAGGCACCTGGCAGGGACACAGAAGCCTTTGGAGAGAGGGTGCATGCTAGTTGGGGTTTGCAGAGTGACTAGGAGTTTAATAGGTTGGAGAGTCTGCAAAAATATTCCAAATAAGAGGAATAGTTGACTGGAGGCATGGGGCCATAAAAGACATGAGAGAGGAGAGTCTGTATTTCTGGAACACAGCAGGGTGTGGACAGTGCTGAGATGGGGTTGGGGTTTGGGTTGGAGCTGGGTATGGTGGCAGAGGACTATGCCTGCCATGGTGGCAGAGGACTATGCCTGCCATGCTGAGGGAGCATTATGGATTTTATCCTGTAGGTAATGGACAGATCCTGGGCAGGAGAATCACATGGCTTCACTTGCTGACAGGATTATAGGGAAGAGTTGAGAGAAAGCACATATTAGGCTCTTCCAGCTGTGTTGGGTGGGTGGGAAGAGTGGGATGAAAATGCAATACTTGGAGGGCAGTTGGAGCAAAGCAAAGGAAGAAGCATTGGCAGCATTGGCAATGGATGGACTGCAGGGGAAGGGAGGGGGAGACGGAGGAGGGGAGATGACGTTCAGAAGCCTGGCACGGGTGACTGATCACTGAGGGAGAGGGCTGGGGAGTGAGTGGGCTCTTCATCCCAGCAGGGGGGCCAAGTCATTGGGAGAGGAGGCAGCCCACACCTCCTGTGTCCTTCCCTGCCTTTGGTGGCCTCTACCCCAGGGCCTCTGTACACCCTGTGGTGCATATCACGACCAGGCCTTTCACCCACTTTTACTGTCGGGACAGTTCAAAATGGGCCACTCAGGTCCCAGTGGCTGTGCATCTTCCCCAGCTCTCACTGTTCCCCCTCCAGCCCCAACACTTGGAGAAACACACCCCCTGGGAACAGGCATCCCATGCCTTGGAGCAGGAAAGCAAGGATTAGGATGGGTTGGTGTTCTCCAAAGCAGAGCCCAGAGCAGGGCCAGTCCTGCCCACAGTGACCAAGTCCCAGTCCTGCTGGGAGCATTGTGGGCAACTAGGGAAACTCCCCTACTTCTATGAGGGACTTATGTAAAGCATGTGAGGCAGCAACTCTTCATGTTGCTGGATATTAAGAACCTGCCACTCTTTTACAAATTACGTTATTGTTTGAAGGCCTGTGTTTTCACAAGGTATCAATATGATTTATGGTTAATTTTCCCCTTGATTTTTGTACACACCACCTGTGTTCTTGAAGCTTCTGCTCTCCTTTCCCAAGGAGGATTGTCCTTTAGGAAAACACTCAAAGTCAAGTGATGCCCTTTAGAGACAGCAGCTGCCGGGCCGCTCTGTGCTTGCCCTCCCACTGATGAGCAGCCACGGCTCAGCTGCCTCCCTCCACGCCCTTCTCTCAAGAACTTACCCCCAGGTATCTCTGCTCTTGGTGCCCTGAGCAGCCTCAGAGCCCACCTGGTTTATAGTGAGTGGTAGGAGGGTCAGGCTGACCCTCAGCCTCGGTCCTGAGGGAAGAGCAAGGACCATTCTTCCATCCCAAACCTCTTCCCCTCTCCCTCTGTTCTCATCTGGGACAGTTGTGGCTCCCAAGTGTGTGTCCCCAGACCATTCTCCATTGGATGCTCATGAGCATGGCAGCCTAAGCCTGGCCCGAGCAGAATTCGGCCCCTCCCCTACCAAACATGTGGGCTCCATTTTAGTACACTGTAAAGACCAGACACTGGAGCAATCCTTTACCGTCTCCAGGCCCAACCAAATGGGCACCTTTTCTGCACCCCTGACGACACTGGGTTCCCATCACAGATCCTTTGAGGGCCAGGGAGTTTTCCTCAAAAACAGTTTTCCCACTTGCAGATTTTGCATCTTTATGTGTTAGTGTGGGATTAATTTTTATCTCTCTAATTCTAGCTCCCCTTTGGCCATACCCTCACCTCCAAGGTAGCTGGGATTCTGCCTATTTGTTCACCAATGGAAACTGGCACCTAATTCACTGCCTGACTCAGCTATGTGCTGAAAGTTTCTGACCTGGGCAGGTGGGTGGATGACATGGTGCCATTCTTGGAGATGGGGGAGCAGGAGGAGCAGCATGCTTGGGCAGGAGGAGGTGGAGTTCAGCATTGGACCTGTTGAGTTTGAAGGGCACCCATGGAAACAGGCTCTGCCAGCATTTGACTCAGGGCAGTGGAATCAGAAGGCAGGCAGCCTCACTGGGAGGGGAGCCTGGGACGTGGCCACAGTGTCCCAGGGAGAAGAGGTGAAGCTTTGGATGGGTAATCGGCATTGGAATGTCAAATATAGAAAGAGGAACCTAGAAAGGAGACTGAGAAGGTATGTCTCAAGAGGCAGTAGAAATATAAGAGGTCCTTTCACAGGAGCCAAGAATGTGTCAAGGAGAAAGAGGGGACAAAAGTGGCAAATGGTGCTGGGGGCTGGATGGGCTCAGTTACAAGGACCCACTTGGTGACCTGTGTGGAGGGTTTCACAGGGCACAGGTGTAGAAGCCAGAAAGCAAGAGTCAAAGGTCAGTGGGAGGTGAGACAATGGAAACAGCACTTTGTGAAGAGGTGGAAAGACCAAACATGGGGACAGAAAGAATGGGGCTGTGGGCACATTGGCTCTTCAGGAGAAGAGGTCCTGTTGAAATGGCAGGACAGAGATAAGGTGGCTACAGGGAGATGTGGGCACTCAGGTTTTGTGACAGAAGCCATAAAAAGGAAAATTATTTTCAACGTTCTATCTTCTCACTGAGGTTGGAGACCAGGTTCAGGCCCCAAGGATGGGGGAGTCTTAGTCAGCAAGTTTTGGGGGGGGGTGGAGAAGGTCTGAAGGTACTGTGTTGGAGAGGTGGAGAGAGGCTGGTGTGTATAGAAGGAATGTGGCCTAGCTGTGGCCACAGGGCATGCATCCGTGGCTCCCTGGTCTGCAGACCCCTTCAGTGGTCTGACCTCACAGGAAGACGTGTGCTGGTGGATCGTCCTGAGGTGTGCGTGTGCAAGTACGGTGGGCCTGGAGGGGTAAGGGGCTGAGCACATTGGTGAGAGGAGGTTGGCATCTTGTATCATGGCATCTACTCAGCAGGAAGAAGTGGGATGCCAGGAGGGATTGACCACTGTGACAAAGTGCAGGGGGCCAGGTGGAGGTCTCAGTGAGACTGGAGGAGGACCACAGGCTGTGGCCTGGAGTCAGGGCTTGGATATAAGACATGCGGGGAGCTTCTGGGTGGTAAAGAGGTCCAGGGAGGGAGCTGAGGTCAGGCATTTGAGAAGCCAGAGTGCTGGGTGGGTGACCGCATCTTCTTGGGACCCACGGGGGGATGAGATGCTCCCCACCCCCATCCCCAAAAGGGAGCAGAGGCCTCACATCTTCTCTGCAGTCCGGATACCACGCACACATGCCTAAAATGGAGAAGGGCGGGCTGGCATTGTTCTGGTAGCCTGGGGGTTCCCAGGGAACTGACAGAAGAAGCCTAATTCTGCCAGGGGGCCCAACTGGCATTGTAATGAACCCTACCCACAGTGCACGGACTGTGAGGTGGCTCCCCAGAGAGAGGCCATGGGACTCTTCCTTTTATGGGGCTCACTGGGTGTCTTCACTGCTGTGCTTGAGAACTGCCAGTTGTGGGAAGGCATTGGACCGCCCACCCACACGTAGCCCACAGATTGTTTTCAGTTCTATTGCTGGAAAGTGAATCATAATATTCCATGTCAAACACAGAAAGTATTTGTGCCCAAATGAAAACTGTTGCTTTATGATCTAATTGCAGCTTTAATTCAAAACCTTTAGATTTAACCTGAATAGAGGCCACCTGGTGAGTAGAGGGAGAAAGTAGCATTTATCCAGTAACAAATGTCAGGGAGGAGCTTAGCTGCCCACCAAAGGGCATCCCGAGGACCCTCACTGGTGGCACCTGTGACCTTGGGCTGGCTTCATTTATCTCTCCCAAACCTTTGCTTCCAACTCTGCTATAAAATGTCCCCTGATCTTCACATTTCAGGGCCTCTGGGCAGTAGGGGGGTTCAGGGAGGCTCCATGGCAGACGCTCAGTAAGTGGTGGACTCTATGGCTACATGGTCCCTCTCAGCAACCTGCCTCTGGTTTCTGGATGCTTCCTGGCCTTCCTTACTCTTTTCCTCCCCTCTCCCTTCCTGCAGAACTCTGTGCCCCTCACCCGTCAGCTCTGTGCTCACCCCCCTGGGGGGGCCTCCTGGGCCCTCCTCTCCACCAGGGCTCACTAGGTGCTCTCTTCCTGAAGCCCAGATGGCTTGGTGCTGACTTCTAACACACTGTCCATTGCTCTGTGAGTTAACCAGATGTTGGTGTGTGGTCTCCCTATTGACCAGAGGATGTTGCAGCTTTATCTCTGTATTCCTGGTGCCCAGCACCAGCCGGACAGGAGACAGGTGCCAGTAAATGTTTGTAGAC